AAAAAAAAAAACACTTTGCAAGAGGGACTTTTACTTAACCTCTCAGTATCTAATGAAAGGGAGCATCCTAGAAGAACACTTCATACAACATGATAATATGTAATCCAAATTATAAATCCTGCAGTGTCTGTATGCTCAAGCCATTTATATAATATCAGCTAAAGATCACTTGACCTTGAACTATAAATCCTATTTTGCCAATGAGCAGGGAATCATGCTTCTTCTGACAAGCAGAACAACACTTACAGGAAAAAAAGAAAGAATAAAGTACAGAGGCTACATCCTGTAAGGCCTTCATCAGTGCAAAAAAACATTCTTGTCCCAATTCCTGCTAAGCTAGCAGAGGTCAGAAATGCCACAGAAATAGCTTTAGCAATAAAAAGAAAACAGAGGAGGGAAGAAAAATGCAAGGTGCAAAGATGTCACACTAGGTCAAAGTTAGGTGCATATTAAAAACTCTGAAGGAAATTCAAGTCAGGACTTCTTGTTTGAATCAGTGACAATCCTCAATTTCATGTTTTTACCTTACAGTTTCAGCTTTCAACAATAAAGCCATAAAGTATAAGCATCTAACAGCTTCTTGGCCAATAAAATGACTCAGCCAGTAAGGAAGGAAGTGCAGCACTTTAAGGTGGCAGTGTAAATATACACAACTTCACAGTAGTAGCTACTGCTAAGTAGAAGTACAGACATCTATTTCTGTAAATCCTTTTCATCATACACATCTTGCTTTTCTGATCTAGGTATACCTCTTGACATAGGTCACTAAGTGCAATGAGAGTTAATGTTTCTGACATCTGAGAGCCATAGCGATGGTCTCAGAGCTAAAATAGGTAATGGTTCATAGTTTTCAGTAGTACCAGGAACAGCTTTTTTTTTTTTTTTTTTTTTTTTCCTCTCTCTCTTCTCTTACAATTACCTTAAAAATTATGCTACAGCTCTCTAATATGTAGCTGCTTGGGTTACCATACTGGAACAGATCAGTGAAATCTCAGTGTCAAACCTCTCCTCTATCAAAGGGAGAGTGTGAAGCACAGCAGCAGTACGGTTGCTGCTGTGCCTCAACAACACTCACTGTTGGCTGAGAAAATTAAGCTGCAAGCTCTGGGTAATAATAGCAATTCACTTTGCTAGTAGCTAGCAATTCTGACTGGTTTTCCTCACAGACATTCTGGATTTGCACTCTGCCTGGGATTGCAAATATCGATAGCAGAGAAGTCTTGTCACTAAGACAATTTTGCAATTGCCACATCATAGTGCCATCACCATCTACTGGATCATATTACAGGATGGAATTAAAATCTCTAGCTGCTTCAGCTTCCACTGATACAGAAACACACACACACAGCTGGCCAAAGAGGTAAACGAGACCACAATATGGGCACCATTTACAATTACTTATATTTAGCACTACTTAAAACTACTTGTTCATTATTCTGTGTTGCATATTTTGCATGAAAGACCTGCAGTTCTTCTGATGTAAATTTCTGTACAAATGCAGTACTTGAGGTAAAAAAACAAAGGTTCAACATGCAGAATCATCATATGATGACCATGCTAAAGCCTTTAGTCTTGCTTCCCTCCCCTCTTTCATTAAACTATAGTTAAACTGGACACGAATTAAACTGGACACAGATTAATACAAAAGTTCTGTAATTACATTGTATTAAATGGTAACTTCATGTAGTCGCAATGAACTCTTATTTCCGTGTCTTTTAGATGTTAGGTAGTTGAGAGGTTGTGGTCAGCATGTCATACACCCCATCACCCTATCTTCAGGAAGATCAAGTGGCAAATTTATTTGTAATGTTTCTTTTCAGTTTGCAGAAGTAGAATCAAACAGCAGTTAGCCAAAGAGCAAGGAGCACGGTCATTGGTGGGCCTACACAGAAAGACACCCAGGTGCAAATTCTGAAAACTGCTTTATTTAATTGGTGCTGGCTAAAGTGCATTAATCCTAACATTCAGCAATTGAGGACAAAGTTTTCTGTCTCTTCATATTTCCAGATTACCCAGATATTGCTTTTTCAGGAAACACTGCACAAAATTCTTTGTGTAGCAACAGTGTAAATCCAACACTTCCCAGTTATCACTAGAACTCACCCATAAACACTATAGGCATACATTTCAGGTGTAACCTTACATTACCTCACAGCCAACTCAGTGAGTTAGCCACAAAATAAAGGACTGTGCATGAAGTATTACTTTTCCTCTCAAGGTTTTATTTAAATACTAGAAATAACCAGCAGATATATTAGAGCAATAATAAATCAGAGCAAGTAATAAAAATGAGTCATCCATAAGCAAGTACTTCCAGACTTAAAGTGTGAAACGAAGCAAAGATGCTATCAGCATAGAACTAACATACAGAATTTCTTCCTACTATTTCTATCTATCCTGGAATCCTTTTCTCCTGGAGTGCTTAACTAGCTTGGAAATGAACTGAGCCGCAATAACGGAGTGCATCTCTAGGAGAGGAGTGGTCTTCCACATGGAATTACTCAAATTCTGCTGTGGCTGAAATTCATTCTCCCGAAATGACATTTTCTTGCAAGCAATAAGGACTTGTCTAGACTTAATTTCCAGTATTACTTGGAATCATCATTGTTCTGTCAGCTAATGAACCTCCTATTTATTCCAACTTGGTCATAGGTCATAGTAAGTTCATATATAAAAACGTTTAACACGTGTTTCTGTCTTCATGAAACTCATGTTGCTCAGCCAGGCATACAACAAATTCTTGCATAGAGAAAATTATACAATAACTTTACAACAGCAATCCCACATTCTTTTTTGGAAGAACTTGTTTCTTAAGTTTAGACTGAACAGAAAGAGTCAGGTATAGTTCCTTAGTTACTTACAATATTCTGCTTTTGCAAAATATTTTTGCTTCTAGGAATTCTGCAAGCATCTTACCTTCTCAAAGTAAGCTTGTTATAGTCCTTTAATGGAAGCCATTATTGATTTTAAATTTGTTTTTAAGTGAGCTTAGTGACTGGCAAAGGTGCTGGACAGATGGCTCTAGTGACTGTTTCTTTTATCTATGACACAGACAACATTTCACAATCCTTCACTATATTCTCAAGGGAGGGAGCATAGAAAGGTTGAATGTACAAAGATGGTTATGGAAAAACTATACTTGAAGGATATGATTATTTAACAAAAACAAGGGCAGCAAATATTAGTAGGGTTAAATTGCTCTATATTACTATGATTTTAAGCAATAGTGGTCTGAACTGTGCATTAGAAGGCTTAGGAAGCAATCTAAAACACAGAGATGACTGAGCATTTTGCACACAGTGCAGTTAGGTAAAGACATTTCTTCACAGTGCAGGATGAACTGAAATGAGCACTCCACAGTTACATAAGCTGGTTTCAGGATCTTCTCATCTTTTTGACTAACAGCAACTTACTACAACTACTAGAGCACGGAAGTTTGAAGACAAATTTCATAGGTTGAAGGTTTTGGCAGTTTTTATAACTTAAAATCTGTTAACTGACATTGAGCAAGCATCCTTTTTCTTTTTAAGCAATCTCGGTACACCATCACACAATTCATCTCCACAACACCAAGTACTCAAAATCTCCACATAGTCTCCTGCTAGTACAAATGCAGTGTAGTTTTTAATTCAGTTAGCCTTCAAAAGTGCAGCACACAAGTTTATTTCATATATAGAGCTTCAAGGGCAGTACATGCAAAGCATTTGATCAAATTTATAAAATTAAGAGAAAAGCTGGAATATTAGTAATTAATTTTAATGTGAAGCTATGTAGTTAAACATATTTTGTTTCTTTTCATCCTAGCATATAATGGCAAGATTCATATACAAGAATTATTTAAAATAATTTATGATGGCAAAATCAGATACTAGAACTATAATAGCAGATAAGCAAAACCTACTATGCTTAAAAGATCTGACAAAAGGTGCAAGTGCTCAAAGACAGTAGAATTTTATCACTTACCTCATGATGCAGCTCAGCTATCTGATCTTTCAGTTCTCTGATATACTGGTTAGAGTCAGATTTATTAAGCTGTCCTTGAATTTTTCCTTCTTCTTTCTGTTTTTGTGGAAAGGACGACTTGAAATTATTCACAGTTATTCACCATTAAAGTATTAACTGTCTGCATATTTTGTCATAAAAGAAGCTACCTACACATTCACCATCTGTCTGTCCATTCAGCATTTTTCATCTGTCTGAGGTTATCAGGAGGTATCTAGAGGCTTTAATAACTCAGACAAGGTGACCCTCTCCAAACTATGTTGAGAGCTACAGGCAGGACTCTATGGAAGAGCATGAAGACTTAATAAAGCTTCACGTGTGGAAGAAATTCACAACCAATGCAAGAGGTTGCATGTGCTATTTAAAGCAGTCCTAAAACATAAAACTAACACGTGGACTTATGTGGATATTGTATACCTAGCATGCATATTTTCACCACTAAAATTTTCATTCAGTAACATGACATTTTCCTCTGCCTCCAACTAAAAAAAAAAAAAAAAAAAGAAAAAAAAAAAGAAATGGGTTCTTTCCTTGCATTGTAGAATTCGCACGAGGGAACACCACATATGACAAGCTTTTATATTTTAAAACTTAAAATAATTGTATTATTTATTCTGTAGGAGTTGCAGAGAGTGCAAGTGAAGTTCCTTACTTAAAATGCTATGACAACTACAGAGATAAAATCTCAAGTAAAAAAAAGCTGGAGATAGATGAATGTGGTTTCCCTCATTTGTTGACCAGATGCAACTCCAAAGCACAAATGATCCTTTGTTGAAGATCTTGTAACTTGAAAGCCTGAAACACTTAACTTTTCAGCTTGCCTCTACAGAGAATCCTGAAGTGACTGATGCAGGGCAAGTTCATTTATCTTGGCTAAATAACACGACTGTACGGAGAACCCTTTCCTGAAGGCAGACCACATCTTCAGATCTCTAGACACTAGTTACTAGTTATTTCTAAAGCAGTCACCAACTTCAGAGGATATAAGCACTTTTCATTTTATAAAAATCTTATAAAAGATTTTATAAAAACTCTAGTTGCAAATTATATAGAACCAAACATACATCAGAAACCAAAATATAATGGGACCATCTGGCTTTCCTACCTGTTACTCATTTTGATGAATTCCTATTTATATTTGAAGGAAACAAGCAATAAATTGCAACGATAGAAAAGTCTAAAGGATAAGGCAATCATTTGCATGCAAAATTCAATTACTAGTGATTTGCTGAACAAAAGGAGAGCATCAACAGTTCTTTAAACCACAAGACAACAAACATTAATAGAGAGTATCGATCCATTGGCCCAACATATGCCAGAAACTAAGGGAGAGGGACAATATACTGCCTTCCAAACCCTTTTCCTGCCTGAAGAGAACCACCTTGAAAGTCCTGTCAGTATTAGCAATCTAGAAGCAATTTATGTACTTTCAGAGCTTCGTCTTCCCTCCCCCACAACAATGTAGTAGACATTACACAGTTTTACAAGAAGAAAATTAATTTCCCATGTTCAGTAAATTCACAGAAAAATCTGTAACAAGGAAGTGCAAGAGTCTTTAGTGCCCACTTCTATGCTAAACCTAGTTTCCAAGGCAACCTGTAGCTCAAATTTGCAAAGAGCTGGGTTTTAACAACATGAAGTTTTTTCCTGTCATAAATAGGTTCAAAAAACCCAAACAAACAAACACCTCCCCCCTCCCCTCACACACACACATCTTTACAAAACAGCTATTGATACTGGGGCTATCAGAGCAGAAGGACCTAAAAATTATAAAACATTTTTCTATATAGAAGACCTTCACTGCTGTCATGAGCGACAATTCCTGACAGTAGTATGATCTGATCCTTTGTGGCAGCAGAAATATATGAGAGATTTCTTTTTCCCCCCTCTGATAGGATTTTGACTTTACTATTTAAAGCTTTTATTTTATGGATTCCAGATTACTATGCAGCTATAAACTGATCAAGAGTAAAGCAAGGGTTCTGCCACAAATAGGTGGTATAGCCCTCTTAGGAAACAAATGTAGTAAGTACACCAGCTTACCTTGGAACTGGGAGCACAAGGTAGCATTCCCAAGTTAAGTCAGCACAAACCAACACCAGAAGCAGGCAAGTTTACTAGCATAAGTTCAGCACTACAGTAATAGCTAAAAGCTGCAAGTCTGCAGTGCTGGACTGCACAAGTGTTCCACATTGGTGATAACATGCTCTACCATTACATTTGGATGTTTTTATTGCTTCCCATTCCTGAAGACACCATCAAGTTAATACAGACATGACAGAATAACATAATTTGTGATATAACTTGCTCATGAAAGAACAAGCTTGCTCCAGGCATATGAAGCTGAATGCTGAGCGCATAATCTACTTTACTTGGTACTTATTATTAGTGAAGGGCAGAAAAGTTTCAGTTTTCCTTTTCAAACTTACGGAATTTGTAGGGCTGACGGTTAGAAAAGACATTATTTAACACAAAATAGGAAACCCTGCAATATCATTTTCTACAAAGACACTTTAAAAAAAAAAAAAAAAAGGTTTAAGTTGTAACCTCCCCTTGCAACATTTGAAACACTAGAGGTCAGAAGCTGATTTAGCTATTCCAAAAACCTCTCTACAGTGGGCAAAGAAGGATGCCTTGAGACACAAATTTTAGGACAAGATGATAGCCTTCGTAACTGCCTTTTTGTAAAGACAGTAATCTGTAAATTACCAAATAGCCTTGAAAATCACAAGGAGAGGTTTCCACATAAGGGAAAAGAAATTTATCTTACCTGAGGAATTGTTTCACTTTCCAATCACATTACATATTTGCATTAATCTCAAATTGATTTCTAGCAGCTTCCAGCTTCTGATAAATAAGCACTTGGCATTCAAAGGCAAATTTAAGTGCAAGAGAAGTTTGCTAAGATCATTCTTTCACATTAGTTTCTCATTAAGGCAGCTTGACAAGCATCAGGACAAAAAAGAAAAGCTGTGGACAGGAAAATGCTTCCACATGTGCAGTTCCTTTTACCATTGCAGAAACCCATATAAAAACATTGTTGTAGTATCTTTTGGTATGTTAGAAAACTTTCTCCCAAACTACTGTAGTTCTAGACTTGTTTTTCAACCTTTGCTAGGCTATACAACACATTATTATTTCCCAAGTACAGTAAAAATATATTCTGAAGTGTATTTATCAAGTGATCCTAATACCATCCTGGAATTTTTTAGACTATTGTCAGCGTGTGAACCTCCTGAGACTGTAAATAGCTTCCCTGTCGCAGAAGAAACCTCAAATTCTACCCCATGCAGGTTAGATTCCCACTTACCTATCATAATTCTAGATGACATTAGCTGTGGTGTAGCACTGATACATACACCAAAAACAGCACACTCACATTCCAAACATTTACTGGCCCACAGCTACACAGTGAATTTAGCAGTTTAAGAAAGCCTCATCAGTTTTAGCTTGGCTTTTTCTATGTCAACTATAATACTTTGCTTTGCAGACACAAATTCTAACACTTTAAATTGACACAGCACCCACTTAAAATTGACCTAGTCAGGCACCCTCACATTAATTCTAGAATTATCATTTGTTATCTGTTAACAATCTGAATTAAATTTGACCTGAAAGAAAAAGTCAGAATTAGGTAGGTTGAAAGTTACAATAAAGTGCAACAAACTGAAGAGTGGAAATGTAAGGAGTCCTGGTTGAGAAAGAGAGGCAAAGACTTTAGATAGCAACATGGACATTTCTGCAGTTTTTCTCTTCAGCTTACTACTTGCAGGATACAGCTGTTGCATTACTTTAATGTACTGCAAGCAACTAAAGATAACTTTCTTCCAAGAACTACTCTACCATTCATTTGCTTTTCCAGAGAAGCATGTTTTCCATTCTTCCTATTCTACTGCTATCAGCATTCGTTTCACTTTTGGAAATCATAATCCTCTGAAAGACAGATTAATTCATTCTCCTCCTGAAGGACCACTAGGATATACTCAAAAGGTTTCTAAACTCAGTCAAGCAAAAAACAAGAAGCAAAACAAACCAGAAAACAACACGCACAACTTGCATGCGTTAAGTCTTGTTCGGCCCAAGCCACCTCAGCCTAGGACCCAACTATGGCAGATGGAAGCTCAGCCGCCGAGGTGAAGGATACCTGCAGCTGAGGAACAAAGGCCTGTTGACACAAAGGATAGGAGCTTACACTGTCCACTTCAACCCCAGCAGGCTGGAATATTCAGGATATTCATTATCCCTTTTTGTCAATTCTGTTATTACTGCTAGCTTCTGGCTTGCTTCAAGCATTGAACCACACAGATGTGCTGGAAAAGATGCGTTTAGCATGGATCCATTTGGCAAGTCTTCTACAGCTAAAAAAAGCTAATCAGTTATCTTAAATATTTCTGAAGAAAACAACATTCAAAGCAACTGAACTGCTTCAAAAGTGAACTTTAAGATTCCACTTACAAGTTAACAACTACAAATATCACACCTTTCAAAAGGAAACAGCATAAGCAATTAGTAATCTCTCTCTTCATAGGGGTTTAAAATCTAAGATAATACATGTAGGATGTGGGGGATTTTTTGTTGTTTTTGTTTGTTTCTTGTTTGAGAGGAAGCACTGTTACAGAAAATCTGAGGTATTTGAGCATGTCATGATAAAGAATGTCTAGTCTCTAGGCAGTAATATCTGTCTTAAGTTTAAAACAAATAAATAGTTAAAAAGTTAGACTACATATCAAGATAAATAAATGCAAGTATAATCAAAATAGCAGAAGTATGAAACCTAGGCAATTCTGGAATCTAGAATTTGTTTTAAAAACATCAAACTCATGTTTTCTAAGAACAGAAGTGACAGTAAGTTAACATATAACCGCTTCTATGTACTGCCACCAATGCAAGGTCTAGCCTTTCCAGGATAATTTCTAGAAATGTCTTGTTGGCACTACACGATATCATCTGAGACTCATCATCTAGATTTCACTACATTTAAAAGCAAATAATAAATCCTCCCCCTCTTACCTCTTTCCAACAGCCCAGCTCCACCAGCATGATCAAGGTTAGAAATTAATGTATCAGGGACTTGCCAGACTCACCGAGCAAGCCATAGAGTGCTTTCATGCTGCTAGATAAAGCAAGGTCTAGGCATAAGTTAGATGAGATCAAAGCCATCCAAACAAGAGTTGCAGGTGTTTCAGCCCCAGAGAAGGGCAAGCATAAAGTTCTGTAACAAGTCTTGCAGCTCAGAGTAAGGAAAGAAATACATATCGACATGAAAATACCCCATTTGAAATGGCAAGAAAACTTCGAGGGTTATTTTTGAGGTAGTATCTACAGACTTGAGATGCACAAAACAAAACCAATGGTTTTATATGTAGCTAAAAATTCAGAAACACCAGACAGTTCATGCTCCAGAAATCACTGTGCATCAGCTTTCCTGAAAATGCTTGAACAGAAAGATATTTGCCCCACACCCTTATTTTGGTCTTTTCTGACTTAGAAATATTTACTTGGTAACAATCTGCTTCAATCTGTTTTCAGGGGAAGCTTTAAAACTCTTAACTCTGTGGCAAGAGACACTGCTTTAAAAATGTAAATGAAGTTTATTCAGAAGAGTAAATGTGGTAACTAGTGTCCTTTCAGTGACTTTACAGTGACTCATTCTAGACTTTCAAAAAACACATCACTAACATCACACACCACTATTGATAAGAGTAAAAAAAAGTTTCCTGTAATTTGAAAAGATGGAAACAATTTCTTTACTCAACAGTCAGTACTTGGAAAAGTTATTAAACAGAGGTCATAGAAAGGCTTCATTCTAAAGAAACGGTGGTAAAAGTTTAAACTGTGGGGGAAGAGAGCTAGCACAATCATGGATTTCCTTTACAGTTGTTCTCAAAGGAGCTCTGACATGGTTAACAACAGCGTAAATGTGACAAAATTCTCTGAATCTGCCAGGAAGCACACCAGGAGGAAGTGATGCTACCTCTGGCCAGAGCAGCCTACAAGCCTACGAATTAATTCTGACAGCTAGTTTTGCCCTTGGGATTCCTTGGGCCTAAAAAAAAAAAAAAAAAAAAAAAAAAAAAAAAAAAAAAAAAACAAACGAGGCTGCGCCG